TTGGCCTAACCTATTTGGTGCAATGATTTTGATACGGCGATGTTGAAAAATCGTGTCACGTTGAATTTCTTGTACGGGGAGAGCGGGAACCGAGAGTGTCTCTTCGCTGCTTCGATGTTCTGGGAAACTTGAAGTTCGATGGAAATTAGAGAGTCTTGCCTGGAAACTGTATTCGTAATTGTTACGGAGGATTTTTATGTATGTTCGTTTAAGATGAAATTAGCGACGACGATCGTTTTCTTCCCGTACGTAAAAGTAACAAGGAAATTAACAATTTTTTAACGAAACGAGAAAGTTACGCCGTCTATATTAACGAGACTTGTATTGCACGCTGTAAATGTTGCGCAAGAATTTTATGAACGTTTTACTTCGGTAAAATTATTAAGAACGAACCGTGTTTCGAATATTTAATGGCACGTTATTACATCGAAATTTAAGCGACTGCGGGAATAAATAAAGGTTGAAAAAAAAAGAAGAAATATTTATTTTATTCTCCGAGCAATCTGAAATTTAAGATTAAAAATAAACATACGAGATGAACGGGGGACGATAAAAAGAGAAGTGAAACGAAAGTACATTGTGATTCGTAAAAGTGCATGTTACAAACAACGTCCAAGCGAAGAAAATATCCCGCGACGCGTAAAGAAACGGCGACGGTCGTCCTTCGCGCAGTGAAATTTAAACGAACGGCTTTGCTCCCTTCACGAAACTTTCATATCGCATTCTCGCGCGGTTCAACCTTTCGTTTAAGCGGCAACGAAGAGAAGGGGGATCCACCGTGTCCTCGATATGTGAACGTCCGTGAGAGAAGTTCCCTTCCTCCTCCAAGATTACGATCGCTTGTCTCTTGTCACCGTTTTCCCGGTACCCCTTTCCCTTTATCCAGCCACTTCGATCGATCCTCGATCATCGACTCACTACATTACGTGCCTGTCGTCAAATTTCCACCGGAATGAATATTCTCGATCTTTATCTTTTTCCTTCTATTTCTTTGGATTTTTCGGTGTTTTCATAAATCTTAATTTTTCGTCGCTAACTCCGTCAGTTAACGATGAATAATAATTCTAAAAAGTTAGTGATAAATAATAGATTCGATTGTAGGTTAGGAAAGATTCACTTTCTTCAAATGAAGATCGCAAACTCTCGCGTTAACGATCTGTAAATTTCGAAAGGTCTAAAAACGAAACAATTACATACTCCACTTTCGAGACCGTCTAAAATCAACATACACCGTAGCCACGAACCGCGACAGCCGAAAATGTAATTCTGTCGTAATTCCGTAACACTTGATAAACACTAGCATATATCGTTTCGTCATCCGCCGTCACGTCAGGACCGGTTTCTTCGTAGCCACCTGAGAAAACCGACAAACAGGAAAAACGAAGGAAAGGATAAAAAAAGAACTAAATATCCTACGGAAACATAGGTAGCATAATAATTATCCAACTCGTGTATATATCCCTTGTATATATTTGCTTTTTCTTTTTGCATCGTCGTACGTCCAAGAAATTTCGTTAAACGCGTCATCTGCCTACTACTGGTCGATTCAATTTACGAGACGAGTTCTCCTCTCGTCTGTACGCGCATGCGCCGACACCAAGCAGCGATTCCTCGTTGCCAGTTTCACGTGATCGTTCCAGTGGCGAAGGTCGCGCCACCACCGATCGTTTTCCATGTTTACTCATCGACCGGATCGTATCGTGCAATCGATTTAATTGCCAGGTTGGACGCGTCGTCCGAAAAATAATCGGTCCGCTGACCGATTCCGAAATGTCAGGAGGCGTTCCGTCGGAGCGAGGGAAAAAGAAAGGATTTCGTAGGAATCGAGGAAGAGAAAGGAAGAACGGGGGTGGAAGGGGCTTGGTGGGGAGGGTAAACGGAGGGATGGAGTGGGGGAGACTTGCAGGGGCAGGTTACAACCGTGGACGTTGCGAAATAGCCGGTCGTGCTCGACTGACTTTCGATGAAATTCAATCGGGGAAAAAGCTGCACCGGCGGCCTCTCTTGCATGTGTACACGCCGCGCCGGAGGAGAAGTTAATTCTTGAAAGCATGGAAATCTGGTTTCTTGCCTGGCTCCCCTGCGTCCGTGAACACGTTGCGTGAAAAAGGTTTCACGTAAAAACGAGAATTGTGTGTATCGTACAGCGAGAGGGGAGGATCGAAATGGTGATCGAGTTAACCTGTTGAGCTGGTGATTTTATGCAATCGCTGGAAGTAGAACATTTCTAGTGGATTTGGGGAAACTTCAATTTTATCTAACGATCTCTTTTTTTCATTGTTTTCGTATGATTCAAAAAATGTACCGTCGACATATTCTTCCTTCAATTTTATTATAATAAATCGTCTATAGTACTTGAAATTTGTCGTATTCGGTGAAAAATCGTTCCACGACTTTGCATTTCCTATTAATCCAGATACACAGATAAATGTATCCCCTATCTACCGTCGCCATCGCGATGCAAATAATTCTTACGGCTGAAAGTAGTCGAGACGTAGAGTTCTACGTGGTTGGTACGCCTGTCTACCGTCCCGAAGGAGACTTCTATTACCGGGAACGTCGAAAAGTTTCCGTGAACTGGCTTGCAACGGTCTCCGTCCCGGGCCATTTGCCATTTCCACGTCCGATACATACCGGATACGGTAATGGCCGCCGCATCCCTGGTGCTCGAAACGAGATTTTACTGCAGTGACCTTCGTTGCACATGCGTACCACTCGAACTCGCTTTTATAACCCGCTTTCGCGGGCCTTAATCGCCACGGTCCTTCGCTGACACGGCCGACAGAGATTTATTTTTGCATCGACCGTCGGGTCGTTATTCTCGAATCTCACCGAGCAACTGACAAAATATTATTCCGAAATGTATCGTTACGAACAAGTAGCAAATGGTCGCCGTGACGTTTCGACAAATTTTACGTCACCCTGTTGTTTGAGGTTATGTTATTCACGTCGATGAATTACGCGCGCGCCATTGTGTGTCACTGAATGATATTTCATTTCGGCATACATTGCAGCGTTTCACGAAGGCCAAGGATTGCCTCGAAGCGATGCTTGATTGACCCTGTACACGTAATTGTTAATTGATGAATGTGCAAGATGGCCGCGTGACACGTGGGAAATCTTCGAGCGAGACGGTGGCTACTAACGAATGCATAGAATTTTTCATGGGCGAACGAGATCTTAATTTTGAAGAATGAGATCGTAAACGAAGGGCTGGGGTTATGACGAAATTGCACTCGTAAAAAACTGCCACGATTGTTTAAAACGTAGTAGAAAAGTGAAAATACTCTTAAACCAGTATAAAATATGCTAAAATGAGATAATATTGCTTCTATTTGTTACTGTTTTATGCATTATCGCACTGATTATACAACAATCTCTAATCAGATTTACGATCTCGGTGGTCATACAGCAAAGTAAACACGTTAATCCTATGAATACAATTATCATTGATTATTAACACTACTCATACTGTTCTCATCGTACAAACACCACCATTCACGATAGTCGAGATAGGTTAGGAAACATTTCTGACTCCTACGTTTTCAACGATTATCTAACTAACAGCTATTTCACCATAAAACGACTAAGGTCGAGGTTATCTGAATTCTGTCCCCAATTTTCTCTGTCCACGATTACCACCGTGTCAATAAAGCCAGATAAATTTAATTGCCACGCAGCAGATTGTCGGACCTCGAATCTCCTCCCATGTGTATACGCAGTTCCGAAGACAAGCGACGTTGCTTGTAAAAAGTGCACTCGGCACCAATCTTTCTCCGTTCGTCGTTTCCGTGACTGGTCGGAACGACTCGTGGATAACAATCTAAGATACCGACCGCCGATTGACCGTCGCCTCGTTAGATACAGAGAATCGTAACCAATGCCTACGAGGCTAGATTACGCGGGTTGCACGCTAATCCTCGTAACTCCACGGCCGATTCGTTCACGCTCGTGCCGTTCTAATTTCGCGGCGTTTATCGGGACCAATTTCGCGACCAACGAATGAATGCATCCGTACGCGTGCTCGACGCAAGGCTGAAACGAGCTGGGAATTATCTGGCGCGCCCATAACCGCGGCCAGAGCGCGCTTTTGTTATCCGACGAAATTATGGTCGTGTTAAAACCTGGCCAAACAGTGTTCACCGGAGCTGAATCGTTTGGGTGGGGGGTTGGTTGTAATTTGACACGGTGCTTCTAATCACCGCTGTTTCCGTCTATTTGACGAAACAAGAGAACGTGCTGCGATGTGAAAATCTCGATCCCGCTTTGAACGTTATATTCAGGTTAAACAAGGCGTTCATTGGATTAGCTTGTAATGTTAATACGATGTATTTTAGGTTATGTTCGCTTTTCCGTTCGATTATTTAACGAGACACGTTTAAATTACACAATTTATTTTAGGTTACGTTCACTTCTCGTTCGATTATTCAATAAAACATATCGAAATTACCGTTGTTACTTGTTACTTTACTTCATTCTTTCGACAATTTTTTCACACGATACACAATATGTAATGCAAGAACAACAAATTATTTCATCATGACACTTTTTTTCGTATCGCTTCGCGTTTCTTATTAACCTTTCACGTAATATCCCACCCGTACCATGCTTTTCTCGGTAGATAAAGAAGAAACGTACGAAAGAAAAAGAATGAAACATATGATACCGGATCAAAGAGCGTAACGCGAGTAATAACAACAGGACCAGCGTATAAAACGCTAGCTCGAGGAACATTAGATCCTACTTACGGATCTTACTTAAAGGCTCAGACAGACAGATAAACAGATAGATAGATAGACAGGTAGAGATACATATGCTTGTACAGCTTCATATACCCGCCGGGTATAGGTAGCCTGGCGCTGGTATAGGTATATGAGAATAGGTATATGGCTTGGCCGTTTCACGTACACGACGTGTACACCATAAGCTGTTTCGTAATTTAATGCGACCTTATTAGCGGGATGAAGGCACACGAATAACCGGTGGTGTTCTGATTCCAGCAACTCTCCTTTCCATCCACGCAATCCAGCCATGGATCGGCAGGCTTTACGTTCAGCCTTTCCGGCAATCAAGACATCGAGGGTCCTCAGGGCGGCTTCGAATGCATCCAACAGACCGGCCCTAAGTGAGTTACTCGTTATACCCTTCTTTCACTGCTTTTATTTGCGTGCGTCGTACGTTTGATGTTATTGCAACGGATAGTTCGATACTCTATATATGTACATGTATAAATCTATACCATATTTTTGCCGTTCGATAAAGTTAACTATAAATTTGGAAATATTTTTTAATTATTCCTGAAACATATTTTTCTCTTTCTTTTTCAAGTGTACAGTTCTTATTGCTCATTTTTTATGACTATTCACATATTTCGTCACAAGTTACGTTTACAAGGTGAGCAATAAATTTGGAAATATTTTTTAATCGAAGAACATTTTTCCACGTTCTTTTTTTTTTCAAGCCTACAGCTTTTATCGCCAATTTTTTATAACTAATAACATATTCCACTGTAATTATTTTTACGGATAGAAAGTTATGTTTACAAGACGAGCAATAAATTTGGAAATATTCTTTAATTCTTCCTAAAGAGCACTTTTCTACATTCTTTCTTTCAAGTGTAAAGTTTTTAGTGCTAATTCTTTACAGCTAACGACATATCGAAGTTCAATTATTTTTATGGATAGAAAGTCGTGCTCCTAAGAAAAAAAAAAAAAATGATACAGCCGTATAGTTCGAACTGTCCGCTTAATAATAATCAGACACACGAATAAACGTGTGCACTTGGTAGATTATAGTTGTGGTATCGAAAACATTGAACATACCAAGAGAAGACCGATACGGCTTTAGTCGACGGCTAGACTAAAACGATCCGAGTTAACTATAATCATTGGCCATGTCGAAAGAGTGAGATCCAATAATAATAGTCAACTGTACAAGAATACATAGTTACATACCTTAATCAAGGGTTATATCGAAACGATCGGTAATTACTATAACTGTATCGTAGAAGTTAATGGATCTAGTACTTACACGAGGCCAATGAAACCAAATTATAATTTATAAATACAATCTCAACTTTTTTTACTACCACTATAAGGTAAAGGTACCAGTAGTTGACCAGTTAAGAGAAACCCTCCACGCGAACAATAATAACCACTTGCTCTGTCGTTAAATAGCGAGAGTCGACGCCTGAAGATACTCTTTAAGCCTTCTAGATTACGTAACAAGACCAATTTTTAAAAAGAGTTATGTTATAAAAATTTTAAAAACGTATTTAAAAATTCAGTAATTGTTTCAGAAGTTGACCACTCTTAAAAATGAAAAAACTAGTAATTGACCCTCTGTTCGTTAGTAGTTGACCACTTATACTAGAAGGAGGGTTAAAGCAATAATGTTGGCAATCATTTTAGTATCGTTTATTTTCAACAATTACCAGCACAAGTGGTAAGAATAACAAAAATGTTGCATTTATCGCTTATAAAACGCTGTGAGAATTTAGCAAGTAAATAATTCAGTCACGAAGAGTTCACAACGTATGGATTTGTTTACCTGAACCGTACAGCTGTTCTTAACATTTTACCGACCGGTAGCGGTTGAACATTCTACGCACTTTCGACCGGTCACTCGGCCACAGTTGCATCGGTGACACCGGCTCTGTTTAGACTCTAGGCTATTGCGCGGGAATATACGCGCTTTTTCTTATACTTGTAGAAATGTTAAATCAAACTTTGACCGGTTAATAGGCTATCGGTCGGTAAGCGTCGGCGAAAAAAAAATGGATTAATAGGCTACCGGTCGGTAAGCGTTGGCGGCATAAAGCCGATTAATAGGCTACCGGTCGGTAAGCGTTGGCGGCAAAAAGCCGATTAATAGGCTACCGGTCGGTAAGCGTTGGCGGCAAAAAGCCGATTAATAGGCTACCGGTCGGTAAAGTGTTAACAGAAACGTTAAGGAAATAGCAATATAGAGGCATATTACTTACCTTAATGAATTTAGACGTCCGTTGTTACTACGCATACTTCTCGTCACATGTAATTCTTTTGAAATTTAACCGACAGCATCTCAGGTGCATTTTTTTCAAAAAAGTATCACTTATAAAAACCTTATTTTTTACGTTTCTCTAAAAACTGGTCAACTACTGATACCTTACATACCTCATTTCAACACACATAAAATAGATTTCTAATTTAAAAATCAAAAAAACGTCCAAATACCTTCCCGTCGAATTTTTTCCCCTTGAAAAAAACATATACATTTTTCTTTGTCTAAGATAATAATCTTCAATTTTCACAAGATTGTTCCACTGAAAATAAAATCGAGTAAAATCACGTTATTTCCTTCTCAACTCTGTACGTTCTCAAGGGGATGAAATCGATGTCAGGCCACTCGAATCGACCGCACGGTTGCGTCTCTTACGTGTAAAATTTTCGAGACACTCGGAATCGACGTGGGCAAAGACAAAGGAAAATGAAAGAAAAAATAAAAGAAAAAGAACTACGTCGATCCGTTCCAGCGACTTATCGGTCTCTTTATCGTGGTCCGTTTTCTTTTTTTCCCCTCGTGCAGAAGCCTGGAGAGCCTTGGCGCATTGCCGTGTAAAATGCGGATACAGGCGAACGACGATGTGTACGAGACAACCAGGCATCGGATGGCCGTCGCCGAGGAGAATAACAAGAACAAATGGTAAGTCTCCTCCACCCCACTTTCGAGGAAAGAGATATACGCCGTCGATGTTTCTCGCCCTCATCGATTCTATTGCGGAGGCCGATTTTTCTTCGCCACGGCTCGTTACCGACGACCCTCCCCCCTCTCTCTCTCTCTCTCTCTCTCTCACCCTCTAACACGCTCGTTCGTTTTACTTCGAGCGGCTTCCGTGTCATATTCGTACGCATTCCGCCTTCGTAAACAACGTCAGACCTCTCTCTCTCTCTCTCTCTCCTGCTATTTATAGATCCGCCGTTTATCGAGATATCACGGTTCACCTGATCCCCTCTGATAATTGAACGTCAGATTTGTTTATGCAATGTTTCACGACGATAGGCGGCGGGACAAAGGGGTGACTTCTCCGAGTTTGCAAGGTGTATTTGTCGGGTGATAATTTGATAAGAGACGATTGAAGAGCGTAGGGGGATAATGACGATTGTCTGTTTTTAAGGTAGTTTGGCGGTAAAATGGAGTTTGAACATTGTTAAGGATACTTAAGTTAGACCAGGTTTACGATACGGACGCGACTCTCTGTTATTTTTCAGATTAAGGTTTAAATACGCGTTTAATGTTTTCCTCCCATAAAAGCGGAGCATTTGGAGTTTCTTCGTGCATCTCAATAGCAATTAACGTATCATAAACCCGCGCGAGCCCAGGCACGTTCTCGCGAGCGAGCGATACCGTTACCCTGGGTTTCTCCCGTAAGCCCAGGTGACGCGTACTTGACGCAAAACACCCCATCATTGAGGGTGAGTGGTTGGCGTTGGGCGGTGACCAAGGCCCGAACGTGAGTGGGAGTCTTGGCCACCCACCCAAAACTCACCCCCGTCAAGGGACCCAAATGCGACCAGTGAAGGGGAAATGCGAGGGCCGACCGGGGCAACGCGCCAACGAGACAAGCAGAACACAAAAAAGGTTAAGAGCAAAAAGTTCAGGCGATCACACAGTCGCTACATTTTCAATCGATTCTCGACGACGTGTCAGAATTGAACAAACATCGAAGACCTATAAGAGATTTTTTGGAGTTTATTGAATTAATTACTTCTTACTTCATAGTTACACTGTAGAAATGCGGTAATGTGACGCAGAGACACTGTACAGGTGAAACTTTTATTTGTTATAAATAGGAAGATGAATTCTTTAATGAAATCGATAGTTCGATAGTTCGTGTCGAATTTTATAATTTAGATCAATATGTCCAACAAACCTTTAAATTTCATTTAGAAAAAACGTACGTGTGTTTTTGTTCCACAAGTTTTTCCTATTTTTTTTTTTTTTTTTTTTTTTTTTTTTTT